ACAAGTGCCACGCTAGTAGTAGCAGGTGCCTTACTAGTAGTAACAAGAAGCTAGTAGTAACAAGAAGCACGCTAGTAGGGGAAGGCCGAAGCAGCAAGTTGTTAGAGTCTGACTCCTGAAGGTGTTGACGCAGATTGGAAACAGCCTGGGGTATGTGCGGATGGTGCGAACCGCTGGCATGCGAAGCATGGCCAATGCTTTGGAGTATCTCGAGGCCCTACCTTTCCAGACGCGTCATCTGTCAAACTCTGCAACAATGCTCGTCTTATTATGGAATTGACTCAAATGCTGCTTCATTGATATTCCTATTCCACATTTTAGAGACAAACATGGACTGAACACGAAGAATGTGTTCATTCTTTGCCAGGTGACGGGTGAGGAGCTCTTCACAGCAGCCGAGGAGGCACAGTTGGTGACCTCGTCGATGGAGGCAGCACAACTGGCGGAGCAGGGCCGGCGTAGCGTGCGGCGCTGCTTCGAGGCTAGCACAGACCATTTGACACCCAGCTTGACGTAGACCGTGGGTGCTCAGGGTGAAGGATTGACGGGCTTCCTGTGTGACCTGGGGTGGATAATCCTTCAAATTCGGGCCAATGACATCCGCGAGTGAGTGAGCGACAGTTTTGTTGGGGATTGTCACAGATCCAATCCACCCAGGTCAGGTCGAATCAGGTTCACTTTAGGGTGTGTGAAGCCAAACAACTGCCGACAAGGTACATTAGGAGTCAAGTCAAATAGAGAGAATGCGATCGGGTGCAGGCCAGGCGAATCTTGAACTTGGCTGTTGTCGTATGCTAGGGCCACCGGCCAGAATAATTTTGTCTCCAAGGAACCTGCTGGCGGAAGTCTTTGTGAAGGCCTTGTCCAACCAAACTTCACAAGCTCGTTCTACACAACTCTTTCACCTTTTAGTGCCTTGCCTTTGCTGTGCCTTCTTGGACGCCTTGCTCAACGGCCAAGCAGTGCTCGCTAAGCGTGCCACAGCCACCACGGGCGTTCGTGGCGAAGCCTTACTAGCCGATGACGGCTTCTCCGTGGGAGTAGCCTTTGTGCTGCGAGTCTTCGCCTTGGAACGAAGCTTCCAATCGTTGCACTGGGGTGCCAACACGGAGATCCATGATCAAGATCTCACTACTGGCCAAGCACGTCAGGCTGCAGGGGTGCCCTTCTTTGAGGAGAGCCTTGGTTGCTTCAGAACAATTGTCGTGCTCCTGTCTTATCCTTTCCTTCGATTTCCTGGTCAAATTTGTGTGTTCAGCGCCAGGTCCAAGACGGACGACCGGCGCAGCAAGTTGCTGACGGAGCTGGGGCGCCTCAGCGCCAACTTGGAAGCGGCCAGCGCCCTCTTCGGTGGTACCAGGTCGAGCGCTGATCGTTGAGCACTAGGAGGACGCTACTAGGAGCAAAGGGCATCGCTACTAGGAGCAAGAAGCTACCAGGGGCTTCTGGCCATACTACTAGGAGCAAGAACGCTACTAGGAGTCAAAGAGCCGTGAACAACGCGGTGAGATTTGCTGAGAGCGATCGCTTTAGAAACGGGACGAACGCTGACCGAGCTGACGGGAGGGAACTGTTTTGCGTCAAGTTGCCTCTCCCTTCTTTCTTCCAGTAGTGATGCCCTTGTTACTAGTATATAGCTTCTAGCTACTAGTAATGCCAGGAGCTACTAGTAGCTTCTTGTTACTAGTAGTAAGGTGCCTTGTTACTAGTTGCCTCTCCCTTCTATCAGTGTCAGAGGGTCCAGTGAGGTCCTTTCTACCGAATATTTGTGGGATCCTATTGCGCTCCAGATCTGCAAAGGTGCTTTTTGGTTGTCGAAGGGAGCCAAATTTGTGCGTGTGCCAGCATATCACCACTCATGAGTTGCTCGGAAATCAGACCACGTGCAGATTCTCCCGACCTTGATATCTTTTCGTCTGCAAGCGCCTGGTGGGCCAAGGCATCATGGCCCTGGCCCAGCTCAAACGCTACGAAGCTTCACCTGAGGCAGACCTTCGGAAGAAGGGATCTTTAAATACTAGTAGCATTAGTAGCGTCCTTGCTCCTAGTAGCGATGCCCTTTGTTACTAGTAGCTTCTAGCTACTGGTAGTAAGGCCAGGAGCTACTAGTAGCGTCCTTTGTCTGAAACGCTTGTTCACCACAAAAGAACTTGTGCACCCCAAGAAACGGCAAGGTGGTGCCATGCGTTCAGCGTGAGTAGGTCCAATGGGTCGGTGAAAAATTCCTGTCGTGAGGTGGTCCAACAACTGATCCGCGAAGCTGCAGAGGCTTACTGCCGATCACAGGCTCGAGCATGGGAGACGCAAGACAATTGGCAGGCAAACGAAGTAGGTCAGCAGGCCAAGACCCAAGGCTTGGTTGAAAAAGCAAAGGGCGCAGGCCACACAAGCAAAACGACTAAATCACCGTGCTTTCTAACAAAGAACCTAAGTCTAAAGCCAGTCTTGAGGAGTAGCTACTCTCTGTTCACCCGGTTTCCCGAAACGAGGCGAAATGGCTTCTGCTTTGGCGTCGTCCCGACTTAGAGGACTTGGCGAAGCCTCGGGACGCTTCGCAAGCGGCTTCGCACGTTGGTTCAATCGCTTTCGCTGGAAGGTGTGGACATTTGAGGATTTGGAAAGCCATGCAACTAGTAGGAACAAAGGGCATTGCTACTAGAGAAAACTGCAATGTCTAAAAAATGGAGTTGAACCGCCCCAAAGGTCATGGGCTCCAGGAAGCACCACTAAATCCCATGCTTTATGCCTTTGCCGACTCAGAGTATGTCCTTTGGTGTCAGGATCGAACCCGACACTGCAGAGATGGAAAGTGCCTTCGCTGCAGTTTCTTTCTTTCGCGATTGACTCGCATATGTTGAGAGGACCCCGGAATGCATTGTGGAGGTAGGTGGACAATGCCTTTGACAGAGGATCGTGCACGACCAGTTGGCAACAATTGCAATTTCACCTGGCTGCCACGCTGTGGCACCTCTAAGTCACAAGGTGCCGAAGACCCATTGAGCCTAGCTGATGATGATGAGTCTAGCGAGGCTGAGTACTGTCAGCAGCACCGCGACAAGAAACGAAGTTCAAACTCTGTGCCAAGCCACACATACAATTTGCCCCTTTGTGCCAGAGCAAACGTTTTGTAGCGCACTGAAGCGAGACAAGCTTGAGATCATGCTGAGCTGGACAACGGTTGGTCAGCTCACTTTACCGTCATCTAAAACCAATGGTACACGATCAGCCCATTCACGATGCATTTTGATGGTTTCGCAAGGCTGTTCTTTCAAAAGATCATGTCGTCGAAGCATGTCACACGCATTGTGACGCGCATTGTGTCACAGATGTGCCAGTTCTGGGATGGCGGCACCAACGAGCCCTCTGAGCACGAGCGCGGGCCACCAGTGGTGCGACAGCGTGAAGGCACCGGCCGAAAAGGCCGAGAAAGGCCGAAAAGCAAAGGCCGAGAAAGAAGCTACTAGGAAAGAAGAAGAAAGAAGAGAGAAGAAAGAAGCTACTAGGGGCTCCTGGCCGTACTACTAGGAACAAGAAGCTACTAGGAACTCCTGGCATCGCTACTAGGAGCAAGGACGCTACTAGGGGCTCCTGGCCGTACTACTAGGAGCAAGGACCCTACTAATCGCCATTCCAAATCTGGAAGGCCTGGCCTCCAAAGGCCCAGGAGGTGTTCGTGGGGGTAGCCCAGGAGGAAGCCACTATTGTGGGAAGCAGAATCTCGCGACATGGTTTTCACAAGCTCAGCAGCAGTGATGGATTCCATCATGAAAAGACATGCTGATCTGATGAGTAGAAAGATCGGTATCATTTGGACTGGACACGTGTCTTTTTTCCGTCCAAGAGGCCCAGGGGGAATGAATGAGGTGGCAACCTGCGGCCCAATCGAAAGTTCCAGAACCTCTCCTCGCCGAACATTCTGCGGAAGTCCCAAGAGCCTGGAGCACCCAGAGTGAGCAAAGCCGCAAGGTAGTCCCCACAGTTTAACCAACCCTAATAGCAATGGCCTCCAACCTAGAAGCGATGGCCTCCAACCTACTAGCAAGGTGGATCTCAGAAAAACACAAACCGCCTGGGTTCCTCCCGTTTGCTCATGCAGAACCAGACTCTAATCCTAGTCGTCGCTGAGCGGTTGCTTCGACAGCACAAAGCTCAGGTTGGCTCAGCTCTCCTTGTTGGGAGAGAGGAGCCAGCAGTCTCGACTTTTGCAGGTCAGATTCTGTCGTGAGAGTCGAAGAAACGATCCGCTTCCGGAAACCACATGTGCATGCTTTGGTCCAGTTACAATCATCAGCTTCCCAAAAAAAATCTAGGAACCAAATCATTAGTGCGAGCACTTCCTTGAAGAAGCGCGAGCTATCCTGCGTCCATCAGGTAGTAGCTAACTCAGCCTAGTAGCGAACTAGTCTCCTACGGGGGGGCCGGCCAAAACGAAGAAAAGGAAAGAACAACAAGAAAGGTCTTTTTCTTTCTCCAGTTACGACGGAAGGTCTTCAACTTGGTGGGTTCGTTGTACTGTGAGAATTGCGTGCAGCTCTACTTCCCTGTCCGCAACTGGGCTGAACAAGAAGAAGCGAAGCAGATCAGATTTCCTTGCCGGTTTCGAAGGGGAGAGGTGTAGCAGCGAATTGTTCAGTCCTGGCAGATATAGTTACTAGTAGCGATGCACTTGTTCCTAGTAGCTTCTTGTTACTAGTAGTAAGGCACTTGTTACTAGTAACTAGTAGCGTGGCACTTGTTCCTAGTAGCTTCTTGTTAGCTTTGCTTTATCTATAGTTTGAATCTTTACAGTTGATGGACCAGACGCACTGTTTGATACCGGACATTCTTGGAGTCTCGGAGAGCTTTTGCTTTAAATCAGGCAAGCGAGAACCCTATTCCTTGCCAGCTTTTGCAAGAAGTTTAGCCGATGGCTTCAGCAGATCTTCCTCCTACTATCGAATCAGTTGGCCAGCCGCTTGGACTGTCACTTGAAACGAGGAGCTCAGGGCTCGGGAGACATCAGTTGAATGCTGAACCTAGTAGCGATGGCCTCCACAGTGGTATTTTCTAGCTACTAATAGCTTCTTGTTCCTAGCAGTAAGGCCAGGAGCCTCCTAAAAATCACCAGGTGGAAAAGTGTGAAGCTCGACCTCTAGATGCCCAGCACTTTGCCTTCGGCCAAGGAATCCATCACTTTATTCTTTATGTCCGACTCTGGGATCATCAAAAATTGGAGCTTTCGCATGTCCGGTCTGGTCGCAAGACTCATGGAGGCCAATGTTTTGTCGCCTGGCTGTTCCGGCGTGCTATTGTGGGGCCACACGTGGTTGCACACCATGGCATGGCATGTTACTACTAGGAACAAAGAAGCTACTAGGGGCTCCTGGCCTTACTACTAGGAGCAAGGACGCTACTAGGAGCTCCTGGCATCGCTACTAGGAACAAGAGGACGCTACTAGGGGCTCCTGGCATCGCTACTAGGAACAAGAAGCTATTAGCTTATTGTTACTAGTAGCGTCCTTGTTACTACTAGTAAGGCACTTGTTACTACCAGCGATGCACTTGTTACTAGGGGCTCCTGGCCTAGTAGCTTCTTGTGCTGCCCTGCTTCACTTGTCAGGCGGGTCTACATCATCTTTGTCGGGTCTCGCAGCTCTCAGGGCCAAAAGTGGAAAAGAACATATTTTTCAAGAAATCGTTTGGATTATTTTCGATCTCGACTGAAGTGCACAAGAGTTGAGGTCTGAAGAACTTGCTCCACTTGCTGGAGCTCTTCGAGTTTTACTCCAATTTGACAGCGGAGGGCCGGGAGGGGAAGATGCTCACCTATATGCGCCTTGGAGAAGGAAATAACTTTGCCCATTTCAGAACGTCCAGAGAGCAAAAACAAGACTACTAGGGGCTCCTGGCCTTACTACTAGGAGCAAGGACGCTACTAGTAGCTCCTGGCCTTACTACCAGTACGTGTGTGAACGCACGATGCTTGATATGTCCAGGTTCCTCAAGCTCACACGACTTTGAGGCCACCACCAGTGTATCTGCGCATGGCCGTGACGAACTACGAGCAGCATCCACTCTTTTACATCCAGGTGCAACTTGGCCTCGCTACTAGGAGCAAGGACGCTACTAGGGGCTCCTGGCCTCGCTACTAGGAGCGATCAGACGCTACTAGGTGCAACTTGGGGTGTGGGACCTGAAATAGGATTGAATGAAGGACCTGGATGATCATCGGTCAGGTTGCCAGCTTCAGAATAGCCTATAGGCCCTACGGCTTTTAAAGTCCGCTTTTGTTAAGATTAAGATGGCTAGTGTTAATTGGCAAAGCACTCCTCTTCTCTACGCCCTCAAGAACCCATCCTGGTCTATCTATGTAACTCATGCCGTGGTGGAGACGTTGTAGCTAGATCCACGACAATTTCATTCCCGTGGTTGAAGACGTCCTGCAAGGTGACCGTTGAGCGGAACGACACTTGGCCGTAAGTCCATTGGCAGCTTCGATTGTTGGCCTGCCGTAGATTTTAAATTTAAGTCTAATAGCTTCTTGTTACTACTAGTAAGGCACCTGTTACTACTAGCGTGGCACTTGTTACTACTAGCTTGTTGTGAGTAGGTTATTTCTAGAAAGCTAATGGCTTATTCTATTTATTTGTTGCACGTTTGTCGTACAGTTGAACATGTGTACTTCTACTGTTGATGCCTTCTTTTTTGTCATGTCCCTTCCTTTTTGCATCGAGACTGAGGGCAGTTTCGGGGATGGTAGCTTCATCCCATCCTTGGAGCTCGCCATCGAGTCCACCTTTGCGTGTGCCGATACCAAGAGTCTGGACCTCTTGGGCACAGTGTTCTGTGTCCGTTCGGAGTGATCCAGTCCATATTCGGTGCCAAAGCTACTAGTACTTCTTGCTACTAGTAGCGATGCCCTTGTTCCTAGTAGCGATGCCCTTAGCTACCAGCAGTAAGCATTTCAGAAACAACTCATCCTTGTTTGCGATAGCGAATTGCACGACCTAAGGCCGTGGTCATTGTTTTCTGCGTGTTTCTCCGGCCGCACCGTGCGCAGGACGTGATCTTGCGGCGCAAGAAGTTCGCAGAGGTGGCCAGGGCCTTAGAGAACGATCTGATCCATGTGGTCTACACCGAAGACAACAGAAACAAAAAGCTTAGTTTAGGGTTTAGAGGTTTAGTTTTAAGGCTGTCTTCCGGACAAAAACGGACGAAAACTCAAGATACTTGCATACAGACAAAGGATCTTTTTGAGGGGAGGCAGTGAAGAGGGGGTTAAAACTGTAGGAAGATGAAGCTAGTAGTAAACGCAAGCTACTACAAGCCTTCCGAACTTCCTTTTTTTTGGGGGGGGGTAATGAAGGGATGGATCCAGATCCAGGATCATACAGGACCGGATCTTCACGCCAATAGAGTCTTTTGGTTGAGTGACTGAGCATCCATGGACCTGTTATGCTTCGTGGTGGGATAGAGCTTTCCCGCAGACTTGGCACACCTTGCATGTCTCCATTCCTGTTCGGCTCAAGACTCTCACCTTGAGGTAGTCCTTCAAGTCCCAAAGGTGTGGTACCCTTTAGCTTCCAAACCTGGCAACTCGAGTGAATCCCTGACACCTGAAACATCCTGTGTGACCTGAAACAGCCTGTTTTTTGTAGAATACACCCTCTCAAACTTGGATCACTGCCGTAACGACAGCCCGAGGTACAGCACGTGGCGCAGCGATGGACGTTGGACACTAATAAGATGGACGGATCAGTCGGCGTGACGTCGTGGCGATGACATTGCGGCCGAATTCCAATTCGCTTAGTAACAAGTGCCACGCTAGTAGTAACAGGTGCCTTACTAGTAGTAACAATGTTTGCTAGTAGTAACAAGGGCATCGCTACTAGGAACAAGAAGCTACTAGGGGCTCCTGGCCTTACTACTAGGAGCAAGAACGCTACTAGGAACAAGTGCATCGCTATTAGGAACAAGGGCATCGCTACTAGGAGCGATCGGACGCTACTAGGAGCAAAGGGCATCAGTCAGCTAAGCACATGCTCCCCACATTCCACGTCAAGACAGCTAAACAGTCCTGAGCTCCCATCGCTAGTAGGTTGGAGGCCATCGATACTAATTAGGTTGGTTAGTTATTTGGTAAAACTGTTTGGGTTTTGTTGGGTGCAACTGGTGCGTTGGAGGCCATCGCTCTTAGGTTAGAGGCCATCTTAGGTTGGAGCTCAAGCTTTTTGACGGGGAGGTCATGCTGACCGTCGCGTGAGGACCTGCTCCCCGATGGTGCGGCACATGGTCCTGACCTCATGTCGCACATGTGAAACATGTTACAGGTGCACTACCCCGTACCAAAAAGTTATTGGGCAGAACCAAGAACGGAAGGAGAAAAGGTGTAAAGGGAGAACAAAAAAGACACCAAACGAAACACACAAACGTGGGAAGATGTAAAGGAACATGACTGCTACCACCTCTTACTACTAGCACAAAACGCTCCTATGCAGCGATTGCTACGGAACTAGAATGCTGTTATTTTTTTCAACTTGATTCTACTTTCCTTCTTTGAACACTTAGATCTTTTTCCATTGTTTCTTCCTTCCTTTCCCTTTTCATTCGGAGAGTAAACAGGTTTGCTGTTTTGAAGCTTTGGAGTCTTTTTGATGGCAGGTGGAGCCCCTTCTGCCAACAATCTGGCTGTGGCAAGAAACACTGCGTACCTGTCCCAGTGAATTCACATGCCAGTTTGACCCGGTCCATTCTAGTGGGATCAAGAGGAGTTTGTTGATTTGGCCAAGTGGGCTTGTTTGCCAAGGCATATGGTAGCACAACTGGCCACAGGTGGGTCCAACCAAATTGTTTCCTTCTTCTTGCGATTGGTATATTTGATGATAAAGCCACGCCCGATGAATGGGTCTTTCCTTCATACAATCTACCATCTTGTACCATCTACATGACAACCTACTAGCGATGGCCTTCTACCATCTAGTTGACTTGACAGGCTAATTCTAATTACTAGTAGCAAACATTGTTACTACTAGTAAGGCACCTGTTACTACTAGCGTGGCACTTGTTACTACTAGCGTCCTTGTTACTA